CACCATGAGATATTCTAAGATTATAATATGTTTTCCTATTCCCCCCCCCATTGGTTCACCCCTAGCCCTTTTCCTAATAATAATAATAATAATAATAATAATAATAATAATAAATTATTTACACCCCGCCCATCTGGCTAGGTTCCCCCAAAGTATTCCAACAAAGTATTAAAATACAGTGGCCTGTCAAACATTAAAAGCTTCCCTAAACAGGGCTGCCTTCACACGCTGCAACCTGTCTTCTTGCAGGACATTGAATAATAAATATATATATATTGGATATTGGGAGGCGAGGGAGCGCTAAACCAATTGACGCCCGAGCCGGCCAAGGCGGCGCGGGCGGCGCAGGCGAAACGAAGAATCGCGGCAGCTGCCCGCGGGGCCCCTCCCCCTTGCTCAGTGGGCGAAGAAGGGCTGGCAGGCCGAGGGGAGGGGCGGAGGGCAGGGAGAGCCTCTCCCATTGGCCGCCGCTCACGCTACTCCGCGCCGCCGCGCCCTCCCATTGGACCCTGCCCCGCGGCCTTATCATTCCATCTCTCTCTCTCTCCGGTGCTCCCATTTCGTCACGCTGCTGCTGCTGCTGCTCTGGCCGCATCGCGCAGCTCCTCCTCGCTCGTGTCCCTCCGCCGGAGGAAAAGTAGTTCCCATTTCTCCACCTTCGAGCGTGGCTCCTCCTCGCCCCGCCCACTCTCAGGAGACACACCCCCAATGTATTTTTATTTATTTTTTTACTATTTTACTATTTTTTTTGCGGGCTTCTCTCTCCTAACCCCCACCCCGCAATTTTTATTATTTTTTTCCCTTTAAATTTTGTGTACAGGTTATTCAAATGATGGTTTGTAGTCCTTAAATAAGCTTGTGCATTTGACATTTTTTTTCTTTTTCCTTTTATTTCTTAAAATTTTGTGTATAGGTTATTCAAATGATGGTTTGTAGTCCTTAAATATTGTTGTGCATTTGACAAATACTTTTTTTCTATTATTTCTTTTACATATTTTTTAAAATTGTGTGTATAGGATATTCAAACGATGGTTTGTAGTCCTTAAATAATGTTGTGCATTTGACAAATACTTTTTTCTTTTATTTCTTTTACATATTTTTAAAAATTTTGTGTACAGGTTATTCGAATGATGGTTTGTAGTCCTTAAATAACATTGTGTATTTGACAAATATTTTCATTTCTTTTTTCTTTCATGTATTCTTTTTTCCCTTTTCGGTATATGCAAATTTTAAAGAATGCAAAATAATTTTAATTTTAAAAAGCGAGCAAGAAAGCGACCGATTCTGTTGATCTTACTTTTATTACGTATTATATTCCTATTGGGTTGCAATCCAGTAGAACTGCTGGAATTCGTAAAATCGTAAAAAGGTGGTGTTGGAAATGGGGACCCCAGCGGTCATCTAGCCCAACCCGCTTGCAATGCAGGAATCCCAGCTAAAGAATCCCGGGGCAGATGGCCACCCAACTTCTGCTAAAAGACTTCCAGTGAAGGAGAGTCCACCACCTGCAGACCAGTCCACTGGTCCATGATACCCAGCTCTACCTCTCTTTCAAATCAGAACCAGTGAAGGCGGTGAAGGTCCTGTGTGAGTGCCTGGAGGTGGTTGGAGGATGGATGGTGGCTAACAGATTGAGGTTGAATCCTGACAAGACAGAAGGACTGTTTTGTGGGGACAGGCGGGTGTGGGGGACTCCCTGGTCCTGAATGGGGTAACTGTGCCCCTGAAGGACCAGGTGCGCAGCCTGGGAGTCATTTTGGACTCACAGCTGTCCATGGAGGCGCAGGTCAATTCTGTATCCAGGGCAGCTCCATCTGGTACACAGGATGAGACCCTACCTGCCCGCAAACTGGCCAGAGGGGTGCATGCTCTGGTTGTCTCCCGCTTGGACTACTGCCATGCGCTCTCCGTGGGGCTCCCTTTGAAGGTGACCTGGAAACTGCAACTAATCCAGAATGTGGCAGCTAGACTGGGGACTGGGAGTGGAGACCACATAACACTGGTCCTGAAAGACCTACATTGGCTCCCAGTCTGTTTCCGAGCACAATTCAAAGTGTTGGTGCTGACCTTGAAAGCCCTGAACGGCCCAGTAGACCTGAAGGAGCGTCTCCACCCCCATCGTCCAGTCCATCTCCAGAGGATCTTTCGGTGGTTCCATTCCGCTGCTGAAGAACTAATAATAATATAACATCCTATACCCGCAGGTCGGAGGGCAGTTCACAGGATGAAATCATAATATAAAACCACAAAATATATACAAATAAAAACCAAACAACTCAATAACCGCCCCCCGCCCCCCCCCCAAAAAAAAGAATTATTGAGTTGGGTCAATTTAGTCCAACTCCCTGCAACGCAGGAATTTTTCGAATTTTTCGAATCCACAACCCTGAGATTGATAAATCTCATGCTCTACCGACAAAGCTATGGATGGAACAGCTCTAATGATCAGGAAAGTCCTTTGAAGGTTTAGTCGTAGACCTACGTTCCTAAACCTAAATTAAGGGCCGTAGAACAAAGTCATACCTTAATTCCAGTGGGCCTACTCTTGAGTATTTTATTTTTGACTGATTGATTGAATTTATATACCATCCACTTGAGAGTCCCATGGACTGCAAGAAGATCAAACGTATCCATTCGGAAGGAGATCAGCCCTGAGTGCTCACTGGAAGGACAGATCATGAAGCTGAGGCTCCGATACTTTGGCCACCTCATGAGAAGAGAAGACTCCCTGGAAAAGACCCTGATGTTGGGAAAGATGGAGGGCACAAGGAGAAGGGGACGACAGAGGACGAGATGGTGGGACAGTGTCCTCGAAGCTACCAGCATGAGTTTGACCAAACTGCAGGAGGCAGTGGAAGACAGGAGGGCCTGGCGTGCTCTGGTCCAGGGGGTCACACAGAGTCGGACACGACTAAACAACAATATACCGTCCTATACCCGCAGGTCTCAGGGGCACCTTGTTCCACGATATTAATAATAATTCTGTTAATCATACCTCACTCATTAAACTGGATTTCTAAAGCCACCTGGTTTCTGATTTTATCCCAGAATGTCCCGCTTTTCCTTAGATGTCCCTAATTTCATCAGAGAAACGTTGGAGGGGATGGAATAGGATGTCCCTATTTTCAGGGGAGAAACGTTGGAGGGGATGGAATAGGACGTCCCTATTTTCACAGGCCATAAAGAAGGCTGACTGCCGAAGAATGGATGCTTTTGAATTCTGGTGCTGGAGGAGACTCTTGAGAGTCCCATGGACTGCAAGAAGATCAAACCTCTCCATTCTGAAGGAAATCAGCCCTGAGTGCTCACTGGAAGGACAGATCCTGAAGCTGAGGCTCCAAGACTTTGGCCACCTCATGAGAACAGAAGACTCCCTGGAAAAGACCCTGATGTTGGGAAAGATGGAGGGCACAAGAAGAAGGGGACGACGGAGGACGAGATGGTGGGACAGTGTTCTCAAAGCGACCAGCATGAGTTTGACCAAACTGCGGGAGGCAGAGGAAGACAGGAGGGCCTGGCGTGCTCTGGTCCAGGGGGTCACGAAGAGGCGGACATGACTAAACGACTAAACAACAACAAGAACAAATTTTCACAGGAGAAACGTTGGAGGGGATGGAATAGGACGTCCCTATTTTCAGGGGAGAAACGTTGGAGGGGATGGAATAGGACGCCTTAATTTCATCAGAGAAATGTTGGAGGGCTTGCGATGTGGGGCTCAGGGATGGCAGGAACATTGCAATAGGAAATCTGTTCTGTGGGGCCCTGTGAGTCACCCCTAAATGCCCAAGTCCACTTTTGGGGGCCCCTGGGGAGCACAAGCAGTGGGGATCAGGGAGTGCAGAACACAGGAGCTGGCTGACTCGAGGGGTGTGTGAGAGATCGGTTAGGAGGTTCTGCTTTGTGGGGTTCCCAAAGGACCCTAACTCAACCTCTGCCAGTTCTGTGTGGTTTTGGGGACCCCTGATCTGATGGGGTGCCCTAGAGTTTTAGGGTGGAAACAGGAGGTACCCGTAGGTCTGTGTAATGGTGCTATTTTGTGGTGCTTTGTGTATGTGTTGCGAGGGAGGGGAAACTACCTAAAGTTGGGGGGCTTCCCGAACTTCTTAGGGGCTGCCATGGTGAGCGGGTGGCCTTTGACCCTGGAGTGTGAAGGTTAAAATCCGGGGGGGGGGCGTTACTCTCACCCCTCCCTCTCATTTTAGAGCATGGAGGAAAATATATATATATATAGTTCTTAATATGGGGAGAGCCTTAAAATTGCTGGATCTTCTATTAAACTGGGGGGGGGTGACCAGTTATTTTGAACCCCTTGCCACCACCCCCTCCATTTGCCTATGGAAGAAGAGTTGCAAGTGTGCTTTTGGCATGGGGGGGCGGCGAGCGTCGGACCAACGGCCCTCAGCTCTGCGTCCCCTTTAAAAACAAAAAAAGCCACACACACGAGGTCAGCCATTTAATCGACCGCTTCCATCTCTTCCACGGGCCCCCGCACACCTAAAAAAATTTAAAATAAATACATTTGGATCTGCTGGGGGGGGGAGTGTGTGCGTTTTTCTTAAAGGGGAAGAAAAAGCTCGCGCTCCCTGCGAGAGACCCTATTCTGGGGAGATAGCCCTTTTAAATCACAATGCTGAAAAATCCGAATTTCTCCCCTCTCTCTTCCTAAGTATTTGGGAGCTGGAGAGAGGAGGGGGCGGCGGACGGGAGGGACGGAGCCTCGTGGGCAGAGCCAGCCATCCCAGCTCCTTCCTTCCCTCCCCACTGCGTTCATTATTATTTTTTTAATTATTTTTTTTTCTTCAAAGTTGTGCAGCTGGTCGTAATGGTGGTTGATGCGGCGGAAGGATACGTCGGGGAAGGCAGGCCTTGACGCGTGTGTGTGTGTGTGTGTGTGTGTCGATGCGTGTGTAAGCACAGGAGGAGAAGGGGGCGCCCGTCCGCCTTTGCCTGCCCCAGCGAGCGAGCGAGCCGCGGGGGAGGGAGGGAGGGGGGGCAGAGAAACAGAAACCTACGGAGGGAGAGAGAGAGAGAGAGAGAGAGAGAGAGAGAGAAAGAAGCGAAGCGAAAAGGCTCTCGCAGCGATGAGCCAGCGGATCAAACCCTAAAAAGAAGGGGGAGCCGGAGGAAAGAAAGAAAGAGAAAAAAAGGGGAGAGAGAGAGAGAGAAAAGGGGGAAGGGAAGAAGAGAGAGGAAAGAAAAGGGGGGAGGAAAAAAAAACCCAGGAGAGGCACTTTTACTTTCCTTCCCACCACCCCCCTTCCCTCCCTCCTTCCCTCCTTCCTTCCTTCCCTCCCCCGCGGCCGCCGGGAAGCGAGTGGAACGTCGGCGAGGGAACATCAAAGGGGATCGAACGCTCGGCACATCCGATCGAACGCTCGGCACATCCGATCGAACGTTCGGCGCGGGCCAAACATCCGATCGAACGCTCGGCGCGGCCAATCCGGGCGCCGGGACGGGGCGCGCGCGGAACCCCGAACCTTCCCGTCCTCTCTCCTCCTTTTAATCTCTTTCCCCTTCCTTCCTTCCTTCCTTCCTTCCCTCCCTCTTCTTCCCCCCTCTCTCTTTTTTTAATTCCTTTCCCTGTTTTGGTTATATATATTTTTGCTACATTGTAGCCATTTCCCTTCGCCTCTCTGTATCTCTCTCTTTTTTTATAATTATTGTTACATTGTTATTAAAAGAGGTGGGGAGGGAGGGGGGTGTTTGGAAACGCCGCCTCCGCCAAGCCTTGCCACAGCCGCCGCCGGGAGAACAATAGGAAGGTTTAGGAGAGGGACCGGGGCGCGCGCACCCCGGCTGCGCCCCGGGGATCAACGCGAGCCAGCCGTGGATGTGACGCGGACGCCCCCCGCGCCCCCCATATTTCGCCACAAACTGAGCAGGTAAGCTGGAGGAACGGGGAGAGAGGGGGGGGAAGGGCTGCTACTTTTAATTTGGGGGGGAAATGTTCACTTTTGACTCCTCCTCCTCGGAACTATTTTGTGTGGGGCGGCGGGGGTGGGGGGCGGCGGCGCGCGCTCAGGTCAGACTTGAAGACCCCACCATGGTGGAAACTTAACTTGGCCGTTTCTTCTTCGCGACTTTACTCTGGGCCCCCCCTCTCCCCACCCCACATCCCTATAGCCACCCCCCCGCAATTTATTTATTTTTTATTTTAAAAAATGGTGAGGGATTCCTTCCCCCCCTTCTCTTGCCCTTTCTTCTCTCTCTCTCTCTCTCCTCTCCCCCCCCCGGAAGTGGTGTTAAACTTTATGGGGCGGGAAGTTGGAAGCAAGAAAAAGGGGGGGGGGAGAGAGAGAGGGTCTCCCTGACTTCTTTCCTCCTCCCAGTTAAATGTTCTTTTGGGGGGGCTGCTACTGCTACTGTATCTAGAACTATTTGAAAGTTCTGTTTTTTGTGTGTGAGGGGGGGGGGCGTCCAGCCTCCCCATTTTCCTGCCTCGTGGACCTGAGGAATAAAGTCAGGCCACATTGTGCTTGCTGGCTCTCTCTGTGTTTGTTGTTGTTGTTGTCTTATATATATTTTTTGAACCGGTTACAATAGCAACTTTTGAATTCCAGGAGTTTATTTTTCCTTGAGGTGTATGTGGGGGGGACACCCCGAATTTCTCACCCAATTCACCCCATTAACAACCACCTACGGTATATCAAATTATATCAAACTGTACAATTGTACAGTTCCCTGGCCTCAAACTTCCCCCCCCCCCACAAATTTACCTGTGCAAAGGGCTTGATGGGGAGGAGTGGGGCAACCAGAGAGTTGTTCCCAAAGGTGGTTGTGATCCAGAGTTCGTCTCCCAGAGAGTTTTTTTCAGCAGTCCCTTTGAATATACACTTCTGCCTAACCGGACTTGCTGGTGGCTGGTGCGTTGGAGAAAGTAATGTATACAGTTACATCATAATCTCTCCCGTTTTAATCCCCCATTTTTTATTCCTCCTGTTCGACGTCCCATAATTTCGGCCTGCCACTGTGCACCCTCCCACGCCTGCCCGCTGACCCTGAAAGATCCAGTAAATAAGAATTAGGAATGGCTTGAGTTTTGTGTTTTTTCCAGGTAGGCCTCTACCACATGGGCAGATTATTCCTCTTTCACAGGTTCCCAGTCTCCACCTTCTCACAAGCCAGCCTTTCCCAGACAGGCTCCCCAAATTTAATATCCCTTTTTTCCACCACAGGATTTTATTCTCTGCCTTCCCCACACACACCCCACAACTCCCCTTATTGTTAGCAAAATGAAGCCATAGAACGTATCGCTCTTTGGCACAAAACAATCCTTAATTTCACGAAGGAGCTCCCCGAATAAGGCCAAGCTTTTGGACAAAAACAAATGACTTGGGGAAGTTTGGGCCATTGGTGGTTTTCTTAAAAGGCCGCTTGATGGGTTTTGGTTTTGCACGTGTTTGCTTGTCTGAAACAATTGATTTGACCTGTTTGTGGACATCAGTTTGCCTTCCTCTGTCTCCTCCCCCTCCCCTAATTACACACACACAACACCATCCTAAGTTTTGTCTGAAGTCCCATTGTGTGTGCAAATTTCCCGTCCCTCCTGCTAGTCTGTGCCTTAACCAGGGAGTCCAAAAACTCTTCCAAAAATATATTTCATTCTGCCTTGTCTATGCAGACAACCTGGACGCTTGTTTTGCACAAGTTGCTGTCGGAAGATACATTTATATTTCTGTGTGCATGTGGAATTACGAGGACGTAATATTAATGGAGTCGCCGTTTCCCCCCGACCCACACTCCCAGGTTTTAAACGTGGAAAGACATATTTATGGTATTTCTGTATATGTGCTGATCTTTCGGACACCGGCAAGGTTTGCGCCGTAAATCCTCCGATTTAGCAACTCTGTTTGTGTGTAGCTTGCAAAAATAGGATAGATCGCATTTGTCTCTCTGGGCTGAACTGTAATACCATAATGGTGGCACTTGCAATTATTTTGCAATTATTTTTATTTTGGAGGGGTCCAAGGCAGCAGCTGTTTGCATGAAAAAGAGATGTCTGGCCTGCTGAATTAAATTCATTTTTTGGGGGGGGAGGTCTGCCTGTCTGTGGGTCCCCCCCTGTAAAAATCTCTCTCTGTGTGTGAATGGCAGCTGCAGGGAGCTTTGTGTGTGCCTCTCTGCAAACTTTTCTTGGAGTGCACACGAGGCTGGACCTGCCCCCTTCTTCTTCTGCTTTGTGTGCGATGCCTTCCTCTCTCTCCCCCTCGCCCCCACCCCATTTCCCCCCAGAGTGTGTGTTAAATTGCACTGGGGGGTCAAACGCTTCGACTGGGCTCCAAAGTATTGTCGACCCTGCCTGCTGGGGTTTTTAAAAAATTATTATTACAAAAGTGGGTGCTGTGGGAATTGGTTTTGGAGGACAAGAAAGGGGGGGGAGAGAGAGAGAGATGGAGGAAGGGAGAAGGGGGAGGGATGCAGTCGAAAAAGGAGGAGGGTTGGGTGAGACTGGCTTGAAACTCTTTGTCCTAAACTCATAAAACTCTCAGCCCTGGCAGGAGAAGGCTAAGGAACTGAGTCAGGTTGAAGTGCAATAGGAGAGGGAGTTTTTTTCTTTGGGGGGGAGCGCGGTGCACCGGGAAGGCAGAAATCCCCCTTTTAATTCCACAATATTTTTGTGTGCGGAGGCGTGGCCTTTCCGTATACCGAATTTTTTATTTTTTACGGAGGCAGGTGCAGAGCAGAATTGGGCCTTGCCTGTGTCATCGTCGTCCCCCCATATTTTTTGCCCTTGGGTCTTGATCCGTCCTTGCCCTTTTTCACGTGGGGGGTGGGGTTTGCAGAGAGCGAAGGGGCAGGCCTGGGAACACCCCCCCAAGGCCTGGGACTCCCGGTCTCCTTCCCAGACCGGCGAGAACCCCGTTATCCCACACATTTCCAGCAAGGCCTTAGGGTGGCAAGACGCATAAGCTGTTTTGGGGGTTTTGCCCGCTGGGTGGAGGAATGTATGCGTGGGATAAATCCTCCCCACAGCTTGACACCCCCCCCAGCCCCAAACCATCCCAGAATGCAAGGATGCAGTCAATATTGACATTACATTTTTCTCCCATGCAACAATATCCATATCTGTAGAAACATTCGATGGGGAAGCGAAATTCTCTGTGGGTGGCACGGCCCCCGGGTCCCTGTGTCCTGACCGACACCCCCCCCAAGGGCGTGTGGTTCGATACATATTTACCTTGCTTCTCTCTCCCCCCCCCCTCACATTGCCACCTGCTAGTAAATTTGTGTTCCCAACCCAAGAACACACAGGTCTCCGGATCCGCAAAGAATATATCTCTTTTGAGCACAGATTTTTTAAACACATTGTTTTTTGCCCCCTCCCCAATCCCCAGTTGGCTTCTCAGTTTCAAATGCGGCCTGAAGAAAAACGTAAAAATTGCCAGGTGTTTTTGGAGATACCCCTTCTAAATTCTTAAACGTGATGTAAAATCGGAGCTGGGTTGTGTTGGGGACGACGACACACACACAATCTAAATATCAGGTTTGTTTGTTTGTTTGTCTTTTTAAAAAATGATGGCTGGTTTGGATGGGTTTGCATACTCAGAAGTAAGGCCTTCCGCATTTAACAAGGCCTAATCCTGCGCCGAATAAACAGGGGAGATGTTGTGTTGTTGTGCTGCAGTCCGGAGCCTTCTTACATGGGAGTAAGCCCTCACTGGACCCAGTGGGATTTCCCACGGAGTAAACATGTGTTCAATTCTTCCACTCTTCAAATGTCTGTTTAATGTGGACTAGCGGCTTTGCAAGTAGGGACGCGGGTGGCGCTGTGGGTTAAACCACAGAGCCTAGGGCTTGTCGATCAGAAGGTCGGTGGTTCGAATCCCCTCAATGACGGGGTGAGCTCCCGTTGCTCGGTCCCTGCTCCTGCCAACCTAGCAGTTCGAAAGCACACCAGCGCAAGTAGATAAATAGGTACCGCTCTGGCGGGAAGGCAAACGGCGTTTCCGTGCGCTGCTCTGGTTCGCCAGAAGCGGCTTAGTCCTGCTGGCCACATGACCCGGAAGCTGGACGCCGGCTCCCTCGGCCAGTAAAGCGAGATGAGCGCCGCAACCCCAGAGTCGGCCACGACTGGACCTAAGGGTCAGGGGTCCCATTACTTTTACATCATCATTATCATCATCATCATCATTATTGCATTTATCTCCCACCTTTTTACCAAGGCTCACGACAACTCTGTGAGGTAGGTTAGCCGGAGAGTTGGTGGCCGAGACCAGGTCTCCAGATCAGCTTTGGGGTGGAGGGTGGATTCGAACCCTGCTCTCCCAGGTCCGTAGTCCCGCACTCTAACCACTGCACCGCAGGAAGAATAAATTGACCTTGCACTTTGCAGCAACCGAGAACATTTGGGGTGGCCAGAGTAGAAACCGACAGCTATCTCATTTTAGTGTGGCCATTGTGGTCAAGAGGAAATATACTTCCTTCCAAAACAAATGAAAAGTAAACACCGTATTTTTCGCTCTATAAGACGCACCAGACCACAAGACGCACCTAGTTTTTGGAGGAGGAAAACAAGAAAAAAAATATTCTGAATCTCAGAAGCCAGAACAGCAAGAGGGATCGCTGCGCAGCGAAAGCAGCAATCCCTCTTGCTGTTCTGGCTTCTGGGATAGCTGCACAGCCTGCATTCGCTCCATAAGACGCACACACATTTCCCCTTACTTTTTAGGAGGGGAAAAGTGAGTCTTATAGAGCAAAAAATACGGTGGATCTGGTCCTGTTGCTGTAATTCTCTGAGATGTGAGCCAGTCTTCTCTTGTGTGTATCCAGCAATGTTTGCTGGCAACAGAGCACGTGCAAAGTACAATTTCCTTGCGACGCCACCCTGGCCTCTCTCAGAAACAAGCATATCCCTCCATGCGTTATTACTTTGTTTTTGCAT